AGGAGGAGGCAGTTTACAAGTCTCTAGTGAAAAGAGTGAAGACTAGGATTTTCTAAGGCTTGCTAAAATTAGCACCTCCATACTCAGGATCTGCAGAGACATAGTAGGTAGAGGTTAAATTGCTTAGTCTCCTATCCATCAGGATATCTTGCAGCAGCCCTAATTTAACCGTAGATATAAAAACAGATGATGAATGCCTTGCACCATAAATATTCCTTTTTTTAAAGTCATGTTTGTCACAAACAACTCATTTTCTTCATTTGAATTTCTAAATAATGCACAACTTGTTTGCAAAATGGGATCATATATCAGCATATTAGGGAGGCTTTTGTTTTTCGTTTTAGTATTTCCTAGTTCCATTTAGAATTTTGTTGGATTTTACTTATGCAGCAACTCATAGCAAACCAGTAGATAAATAAGGTATTTGTAATTCAAGAGATGATTCAAATGAAGACAGGATTATCTTGGGAGTATTCACTCTGAACGTGAATTCTCAAACGCTTATAATTTCTTCAAACATTACTGTGGTTAAAATATATTTCGGATTTCATTCCAATGGGCTCAGTTATCTGACAAGAACAGCAGCATATTAAATCTTTACATAACACATTTTTGAAATGCTTGCATATTAGTCACTAAGCAGTTATTAAATTTCTAAATCTTCTCCCCGCAGCTTGATCCCCACAGAGAATAAAGTAACTTAAAATTTTTCTGTTTACTGCAATAGCTATTACTTATCTGTGCACCAGGTGGAGAAATTATGGCACAAGGATTCCTGTATTTGCCCATAGAGTATCTTGCATAGACACTGACTTGAATTTTCATTTATATTTTCAATTCATTAAAGGTTTATGCATTTTGACCCACTTACAAACTAAATGACATAGTAGAAAACAGAGCATGATTTTTCCACTTGCTATTTAACTGATGTTGACAAGTCACTTTAAACTCTCTAAACTCCATTTAGCTTATTTGTAAGTGGGTATAAAAATACTGCCTACTAGAACAAATGACAGAATGTTAAAGTGCTGTGACGACTGTAAAATTTTATATAACTGTAAAATATTTTATATTATTATGTTACTTTTATAAGAATGAAAAACAGCTGGTTATTTCCCCATCATGCCTACTATAAAAAGAGAAAATGACAGAGAAATACTGTTTTAGAGTGGTCTGAGAGTTTGTTATGAAAGCTTTCAAATTTAAGAAAAATTTTCCTAAAGTATTATAGATTAAAGCTAAAATTCAGAGGCAATCTAATCTAGCCACTTTAGCTCTACATATAAGGAAAGAAAGACTCAAGAAGGCTAAATATTACAACATACAAACAAAACAATAAAAAATGGTGGTAGAATGGGAAGAACTAAATAAATTTTAAATGTCCCAATTTGTTTGTGGGTTATTCTTGGCTAGAGTTATAATAAAAGGGTAGAATTAGAGTTAGTGGCAGGAGCAGGTTCAGAGTTTGAGTTAAAGTTCTCGCCAGATTATAGCATTTTAGTAAGTTACTTTTTAGCCAATTATAAAATAAAAATGATGACTATGAGAACACATAAATGGTCTTGTATTAAGCACTCTAAGAAACAGATATCTACACAAATCTATCTATCTATCTATCAATATAATGTGCATTTACATACAATTAGTTTATTCATCCTTACAACTTAATTATCCTTTCTTTACAGGTAAAGAAACCAAGGTACAAAGTTTAAGGAAGTTGAGAAAGATCGCACAACTTGTACTAAGTGACTGTGTCAAGCTTTCAGCCAAGATTGGCCATTGGGCCTTTTAAAATTTACTTTTTTGATGAATGGGTGTCAAATGCTTTTACTGTATCAAGTGATATGATCATGTGATGTTTCTTTTTTTAACCTATTGATGTGATGGATTATATTAATAGATTTTTAAATTTCGAAATCAGCCTTGCAAACCTGGGTTCAATGCCTCCTGAATTTTTCATTACCATATACTTTGAGCTCTTTAATTGCTGTGGAAATATTTTTTAAAAGGAACTTTATGCTTTTGTGATTACTTAGCTTTACAAATTCTGATGTGTTCACATTGATGAGAAGGAAAAGAGTGCATAGGAAAGTAATGACAGAAAAAGTAGAGAATGGGAAGAATTTGTTACCAAGGCTTAACTTGAAAATGTCATAAAATTACTAGTATGAGTCCATTATTTTTGAACTTAATATTTTGGACCAATTTTTATGATATTAGAAAGTGAGATATAACTGGCTTAGTACCAGCTATGTCTTAAAAACGCACATTCCATACGATCCATTCTTTCTACTTTTGAGTCTTAAAATACTCAGCAATAAAGTTTAATGTAATATTCTAAGTAATAAAATATGCACTTTCCCTAGAAATATGAGAACACATGATCATATTTCAAGAGTTGTGCATGGATGTTCACATTAGCTTCATTTGTAGTAGCCCCAAACAGAAAACAAACCCAAAGTCTATTAACAGATGAATGGATAAACCCTGGTAAACTTATGTAATCTAATTCTACTCAGCAATTAAAAGGAATGATGTTACAACACAAACAAGTACCAGACTGTATGATTCCATTCATGTAAAATTATAAGAAATACTCATATATAGTTTCAGAAAGAGATCAGTGGTTGACTGGAGAGGATGACCAAGAATGTCAGGAGGAAGGAACTAAAAAGAGGCATGAGAAAAAATTGGGGATGATTGAAGTGTTCATTACTTTAGTTGTGGAGATGGTTTTAAAGGTATAAATATGTCAATACAATAAAGTATACATATATGAAAAGCATATTAAAATATTTTATATTAAGTTTCTTCTTTGTTGTTATTAAAGGCAACAAAGTAAATCCTTTGCAGTTATTACATATTATAGTAGTAAATCCCATAAAGATCAAATTATATAATATATAATTATATATTCCACAACAGAGATATATAGAGTGAAAATAAATTTAAAATGTACTGTGTCAGTTTGAAGTTATCTTTATTAACAAAAGTTGTTAACCAAAAAAACCTGGAGATGCTGAAAGTCACAAGACATACAAACTCCAAGTCAGGTTACTTTTTTTGTGTGTCCATTAGTTCATAGTTCCTAAGTGACTAAAAGCACTATGGGATTATTATATACAACCAAACTAAAGTATGTGTGCTAATGTACTTGGAATATGATAAAAATGAACTATATATAAGATACTACTATTTCACTGTTATAAAACAAAACAGACTATTTTTCTAAACATAAATATACATAGCTACATTCCATATATAACTGCAGTGCAATAATTTATTTTCTCTTTTAAAAGAGGTTGGTTGACATTTTCTAAAAAATAGCAAAGTATTATAGACTATAAAAATATTGAGTATGCATACATGTTCTTTGTCATCAGAAAATTATTAAACAAAATCAGAGACTGAACATACAGAAGTAATAAAACATGGCATTAAAATGTCATTGAATGAGACTACATCACAATGAAAAGTTTTTGCATAGCAAAGGAAACCATCAACAAAATGAAAAACAACCCAGTGAATGGGAGAACATTCACCAATGATACATCTGATAAGGGATTAATATTCAAACTTTATAAAGAACTTATAAAACTCAATACCAAAAAAGCAAACAATCCAATTTAAAAAATGCTCAAAGGACCTCAATAGACACTTCTCCAAAGAGGACATACAGATGGCCAATAGACATATGAAAAGATGCTCAACATCACTAATCTTCAGAGAAATGCAATTAAAAATCACAATGAGACATCATTCCCCACCTATCGGAATAGCTATTATCAATAAACAAACAAGTATTAGGATGTGGAGAAGAGAAAACCCTTGTTCACGGTTTGTAAGAATGCAGATGGGTACAACCACTGTGGAAAACAGTATGGAGTTGCCACAAAAATAAAAATGGAACTGCCTTATGACCCAGTGATTCCACTTCTGATAATTTACCCAAAGAAACACAAAACACTATATCGAGGAAGAATATATACACCATTATGTTCATTGCAGCATTATTTACAACTAGAGGCCTGATGCATGAAATTCATGCACAGAGATGGGGGTGGAGGGTTCCCTCAGCCCAACGTGCACTCTCTTGCAATCCGGGACACCTTGAGGGATGTCCAACTGCCAGTTTAGGCCTGATCCCTCTCACAATTCAGGACCGCTGGCTCCTAACCACTAATATGCCTGCCTGATCGCCCCTAACCACTTCTGCTTCCCTGCCTGATGCCCCTAACCACTTGCCTGCCTGCCTAATCCCCCTAGCCAATCACCTGCCTGCCTGATCACCCCTAACCACTCACCTGCCTGCCTGATAACCCCTAACTGCTTACCTGCCTCCCTAATCATCCCTGACTGCCTCTGCCTTCCTAACCACTCTGCCTGCCTGATCACCCAGAACTGCCACTGCCTCAGCCCCTACAGCCACCCTATCCTTGTCTGGAAGGATATCCGAAGCGATGTCTGGAAGGTCATTTGGCTGTCCAGTCTAATTAGCATATTATGCTTTTATTTTTATAGATAGTCAAGATTTGGAAGTAGCTCAAGTGTTCATCAAGAGATGAGTGGATAAAACAGCTATGGTACATTCAGATAATGGAATACTACTCAGCCATAAAAAGGAAGAAAATGTACCCTTTGTGACAACATGGACAGAAGTGGAGAACATGCTAAGTGAAATAAGCCAGTCAGAGAAAGACAAAGATTTCACAAATATATGGGATTTAATGAACAAACTGAACTAACAAGCAAAATAGAGACAGAATCATAGTAGAGAGCACACAGGCAGCTCTGATGGGAAGAGGGATTCAAGGGGTTTGGAAAGATTGAGCAAAAAAGTGAAAGAACTCCTTGAACATGGACAACACTGTAGTGACTGTGAGAATGGAGGAGGGTGGGTGGAGATAGAAGAGGGAACAGGGGGGATAAATGGTGATGGCAAATAAAACAAAATAATTTAAAATAAAATGTCATCATGGAAACCTCTAAAATGCTATTACCTGGAATCAGTTCCATAATGATGTAGATCGGCTGTCTCTGTGTGCAAACTCCTATAAGTTTGACAATATTGGGATGATCATATTGCTTAAGAATTCTGGATGAGAAAAGAATAAGAATAATTATTTAAATATGTATGCATTAACCTATGATCATAAGTAATGTACACAAATAGAATATACTTTAATCAATATAACTCATTTTTTAAAACTTCAGTGTGAACCGAAATTGTGATAAATAGGATATATGCAAATTTTGATAAATCTTGGCAAAAAATAGGTACAAATCAGTCCATTACCCTTAATTCCATTAAATATTCACTTAAAATTATCATTCACTCTAAATGACTAACAACCATGCTAAGTAGAAATAACTTACTTAGTCCAAAACATTTAGAACTGTCTTCCAAATATCCAGACTTAGCCACCACCACAAAAGCATAGCTGAAAAGCATGAGTGAACTCAAAACTGTAAGCTTCTAGGGTAGCATCTTTTTGTTTTGCTCTATGTACACACTTGATTTGAAATACATAAAAATAAGAATCTAATTCATGTTGATAAGCACCATTGGGTAATCCTTTCATTAAATTTTTATAATCAGAACTTTCTCGCTGACCATAATCAATTTCAAAATAGTAAGAATTCAAAAGTTTTGAGAAAGCTGTCAAAGGTTAAACAATAACTGAGTAAGAGAGTTTCAATATCAAGTTAAGCTGAAGCAGAGAATACTTAGTTTGGATAAGGCAAAATTTCAGAGGGTTATAAAATAGCACAGACTCCTAGCTCAAGTTAAAAGTAGATTAGATTCCCCCAGAGGCCTGTGTACCCTGGTGATTTCTATTACCAAATTTTACTCCACATTATCCTATTGACATAGTTATAAGCTCACTTATATTTCAAAGATGCAATTTTCTTGCCTAAGAGAATGAAAAAATAACTTCATTTGGAGAAAGATAAAACAATTTATATAACTGTTTTATATTTAGTTGTACTTGTACAACTAAAGCAAGATACCTGTAAAAAAAATTTTATATTGAAAATACAGAATGATTTATAAATGAAAAAGTAAACTTGGAAGAATTCTACAAATAAGAGAAATATTCTGACAATAACTGAGTTTGCAACTTCTACAAGGAATTAAAAAGTTTTAAAATGTTTGACTTTAATTCAAAAAGTCATTTCTGAAGCTGGAAATTGCTTAGTAAAGAAATTCCAAAAAATAGCCAGCCTGAATTCCTATAATATTTAAATAGCTAAATATAGAGCTCTATTATCTATTAAAGCACACTTAAAAGTTTTTACATGCATATTTTTATTTTTTTAATATATTTTATTGATTTCACAGAGAGGAAGGGAGAGGAATAGAGAGTTAGAAATATTGGTGAGAGAGAAACATTGATCATCTGCCTCCTGCAAGTCCCCTACTGGGGAATCAAGCCTGCAACCAAGGTACATGCCCTTGAGCAGAATCAAAGCCTGGACTCTTCAGTCCGAAGGCTGACATTCTATCCACGGAGCCAACTCGGTCAGAGCTAAAATTTTTATTTTTAAAATAAGACAAGCTCGCTTTAAAAAAGCAAGCTAAACTCTATTTTGCGATAAAACAATCACAAATTAGAAAAACAAAAAAAATAAAGATTTTTGAAAATGTTGGATATAATTTATACTATAAGAATACTTATGAATATCTATAAAATAATAAATGTATGAATTTAAAACCTTTAAATTTATTAGCATCTTTTTTTTTTTCTGAATTGCCAATACACATGAAATAGGGTTTCAACTTTCTTCTGTAGTTCAACAAATGCATCACACCAGTTTACTCCTTTGCTATCAATACTCATTTTCAGATAAATGGAGAAATGTACATGAAAGTGCTCCCTGCCATGGGACTTAGTTCACTCATTACCATATTCCCTCATTGCCATGTCCTCTGTTCTCCATGACACTTTACAAAAACTTCAATTTTATACACTAGAACATGATGGAAGCACACATACCACCAACTCACACACATCTCTGCCTCCCTCCCTTTAAACCAGGGGTAAGGAACTTTAGGCCCTTGCAATCATTTGGTCCTGCTAAGGCATGAGGGGTAAATTAATTGTTTGATCAATATAGCAGGCTAATTTTTAAGTTGATAATTTTGTATGGCCCGAGAATGAGGTTATAAATATCCAAATAGCTATTGGCAGAAAAAAAGTTCCCCACCCCTTCTTCACACCAACTATCTATAGATCCACCCATTTTCCTCCTCTCTCATTCATCAATCCATCTCTCAAAGGTAAGTCTATCCTCACTCTGTCCAAAGCACCTTTCAATTTGTTTTGTGCTTCATTGTATAAACTAGATGTTATAATTAACCGAGTGGTTTTAACTATCTGCCATAAAGAGGTAGCAAATTGGAACATTAAATTTTAGCTAATAAAGGAAAATGGCAATCATCTTAAAAAAATCAATTAGAAAAGAAACAATATGCAAATTCTGGAACAAATGCCAGAAACTAAATTAAAGAAGGCATATGAGGTTCTTAGAAAACTAACAGATGGAAAAAAAAAAAAAAAAAAGAATTAAATGATAATATCTAAGTAAGGTATGGGAGATGAAATTATATATCTAAATATTTATGTAAATTATGTCTTGTATGTAGAATGTAGTAATATTTTTATTATAAGGAAAATCACAACTGTGTGTGTGTGTGTGTGTGTGTGTGTGTGTGTGTGTGATGAAAGCAAAAAACACTGCAATGTTTTTCAAAGACTTGCAGAATACTCACTGTTTAGTAGCACCTGGTTCTTATCACTCTGCTTACCTAACTGACCCATAGTCTCACTCAAACAGAAACCTTCTGATTCCACATTGTATAAGTGCTTACTTTTGGATGAGGGCTCTGAAAGTATTTATTTCCACTTCGACAAATCATAATTTATGATATCTTCAAACTTACATTTCAGTGAGTCACTTATATTATAAATACACACTTGATATAACTTTAAAGAACTCACTTGGCTTCTTGTAAAAATTTCATTTTCAGTTCCTGAGGAACATCTTCTTTACATGTTTTAACAGCAACAGCAGTTTTATCCTTTAATATGCCTTTATATACTTCACCAAAATTTCCCTGAAAATGCAAATACATTCATTGTTTGAGATGTAAGACAGCCACATAAATCTTCACAAAATACAAAAAAAGCATGTAATGATGCATTTTGTGTTAAAGCATCAGCATTATTCAGAGTTTGAAGTGGAAATCAAGATTGGGAATGTTGCTTTTACCAATGTTCTCAACTTTAAGTATGCTACTCAACACACCGAATATTTGGGGAAAATTGAAAAATGAAAATAGGAAAATTTTTCAAGAAAATAGAACGAAAGGAGAAACTCGAATGTGACACTGTCAGAAATATCTGAGTTTTGTTACATCCAATTTGCTTTACCTGCAATTTATGAAATTTAAAAAATTACCTATTAATGATTAAAGATAAAGCAGAGATTTTGCAAGGTGCCTTTTGGTATAGAGCCACACAGCCATATTGTCAATTGGAAAGGAGTGAGAGTAAGAGACTAAGGCAGAGACAACCGAACTAGGAAGATGGGCTGTCAGCCACTGTTCTAGGTTGTCAGTCTTTAGAAGGTACCAAGGAAGAGGAGGTTCTTATCCAAATACCCATGTCACTGGTGATGAATACATTTTCTGTCAAAAGTATGAACTCCTAACCTTACTTTATGGCAAAAAAGTATTTTGACTTAAGAGGCCTAATTTTCAGTGTGAAGTCATTTTTTTCTTTTATTATAAACACAAAACATTACAGAGAAGACCTATAAGGCTAACAAAACAATTATTTTTTAGTATTCTCTTCAGGTTTTTCTACATGTGCTTATATGTTTTTACAAAGCTATAGTAATAATAATAATAATATGCAAGCATTATAAGCTTCAATACTATTCTTGCTGAGCAAGTAGCTGAAGTAGGAATCTACTTGAGTTTTTCGAGTTCTAAGGTCCATGTAACTCTTACTAATAAATATTTAACATTATTAAAAAACAAAATATTTTTTAACATTGTATTACTTGATATTTTATTTAATTTTAAAATTAGTTTACTCACACTTTAATATACTTAAATATTATAAGTTGTTACTGAATCTAATATTCAACTCTTATTTATTTAAAAACAATGATTAATTATAAATGTAGCATAATACACATTTATCATAAGTTTAAAAAAGAAAAATTTGAGCTTTTATATCTTTCCATGTTTTTTATTCTCAAGATTCTTTTCCCCCACCCCCCATTATCAGATCATTAATATATCATAGATAGAGCTGAGAGAAGATATTAATATACACAATTACTGCTGGGCCTCTACTTATCTGAATGATTCTGAAGCACTTATACTTTAACTTGTCTAAAACTTAACATTTTTCTCATTAGACTTTTCTTAACTAATTTACCTTTTTCATTTACTAGGACCACATTCATTCTCTCTGCAAGTATTCAGATTCTACCTTTGCCATATTTGTGTCTTCCTCCTTACATCTCAGAAAGGCCACCCTGATTCAAAATCTTAAGTTTCTCACCTACACTGATCTGTCACTCACCCCTTTCAACAATAAAGAATTATATTTTAAAAAATGCATGAACACAAATCTTTTAATGCTGTTCAATAATCATTATTATAATTCTGTAGAAAATTCACACTCTGATTCTTCTAAAAAATGGCTTTTCCCCTTCTTTTCTCTTAAGTCCCCTACTCTTCCTCCCTCGATCCTTATTCTTAGCTGATAATCTTGCTCGTTAGTACATTGAGAAAACTGAAGCAATCTACTAATAAAGAGAACTTTCAGGCTCTCAGCCCTACATTTACCCATCTATCAATCTTCCTTGCTGTTATAAAAATGAACTATTGTGTTTTTATTGAAGTCAATTCTCCATTGTAAATTAAATTTACTCTTTTTAAAAAATATATATTTTTATTGACTTTTCACAGAGAGGAAGAGAGAGAAGGAGAGAGAACTATTGATAGAAACATCGATGAGAGAGAATCATCGATCAGCTGCCTCTTGCACACCCCGCCTGGGGGTGTGCGCACAACCAAGGCACATGCCCCTGACCGGAATCGAACCTGGGACCTTTCAGTCCGCAGACCGACACTCTATCCACTGAGTCAAACCGTTTTCAGCTATATTTACTCTTATCTACTCAATGTCATTACTCTACCAATTCTCAAATCATAAATTTGTCACTAGATCATTCCCAACTGCAAACCAGTATGCCTACAAGGCACTACATGACCTATAACCTTCACCAACTCACTGACTTCCTGTCCTATTATAATTCTCCTTGTTTACTTAGTTACAGCCAAATGATATCCCTTGCTCTTCAAATGAAATTTTCACTGGATACTGCCTCTGTCTAGAACCCTCTTCAATAGAAGCCCACATGGCTAAATCCCTCATCTCCAAGTTTTAATTTGAAAGTAACAATTTTAATCAGGCTTACCCAAATTTCACTTTTAAAAATGGCAACTTATACTTATAGCACACTCCTAATCCCAGTATTTTCCACAGGACTCAGCACCCTTTAACATTATAAAATTTACTATTTACTATGTTTATTGCTTATCAGCCTTCCCCTGCTAGACAGAATAAAAGCTCCAAAAAGGCATTGTTTACTGAGGATTTGAGGATTAAGTAAAATATTTATTGAACACCAATTATACATAAAAAAGTCTAGAAAGAGTATAGTACTCAAAAAATTAGAATTCTTGTCTCAACCTTATATTACCACTAATATACAGTACATTATAAGTATTTGTACAGAATTGGCAATGAAAATATTAAATAACAAATCATTTTTTATTTACAGTATTAGCTGAAATGAAGCTAAACCATTATCATTGCAGTTGCAGTCTTTCATTAACATGACTAAATATTTTTGAAATTGACATCATGCTACTGCCTTATCATTTAGAAAAATAACTATTCTTTGAAATACTCTTATTAAGAAAATAGAGGTTAAAATTCCTCCTGATATACACTATTATTTCACTATTCAACAAAACATAAAAGTAATTGAAATATTGTTTTTTTTCCCAAGTACTAAAAAAAAAATCTGTCCCCTTCAACACATGATATTTCAGTAAGTGATTTAATTTGATTATTTTTAATTATATTTTCATGGAAATTTATTTAATTTCTTTGTAATGATTTTTGGTCCAATTAGTACAACTGAGTTATTGATCTAAAGTAATAGAAAGAAGAAATATTTCCTTAAGAATGACAAAGGAAATAAGCACATCACCTAATGCTTTTAGCTTGAAATGCTTTAGAAATTACTTACTAAATAAGTAATTGCAGTCAATAAAACCTGCTAGCCAGGAGTATTTCATGATTCCATTTTGAAAAGAGATTTTAAAATACTAATAAGAACCCTGTTAAGTAGATTAATTCAACAGGAATTTACTTTCTTAAAATATGTAACAGTTAAAAAATAGGAAACATTTGGTCAAGTCATCATGCTTACATTTAAAAAAAAATGTAATGAATAATCATTTTTCATTTAACATGCTGAGCTTTAAGTCTAATACTGATAACTCAGAAATGCATCAGTGATAATTTTCACAAAATATCGAGTTTACTTTTTTTCACATTGCATTGTGAAACTAAATTAAAAATATTTAATGGAAACACCTCTAATTAAGCCATTGACAAAGAAGATAACTTTACCATTGGTACTCAATTATAAATAAACAATAAATTTGCAAGTAGTCCATTTGATTATCAAATGTTTGCTATTATTGTTAGATATAATACTTTCAAATGGCCTATGAATTGAAACTTCCAACTAGACTGAAAGGGACTTCTAACCAATAATAGAGATAGCTACAAAATAAATCTTTAATCTGAAATAGGTGTCTTGCTCATACAATATTTAGATAAAATAACATTTCCAATGGTGTTATATACTGTGATTCTAGAGTTTTGAAATCCCTAAGAGCAGAATTTTACATTTTCTGATTACACATGATAGTTTTTAAAAGTAAAAGATCATCTTTAAACCTTTCAAAGGTTTTCACACATCTATTTCAGTGACCATCTCATACGTGCTACTGTGCTCTTCCAGTTAACGTGGAAGGTGCTTTGTTGTATGCTAGAACCTAAGAAGGGCTGGAGGAAAATTAAAGACTCTAGAGAGTTCTCAATTATTATAAAGACTGTCAGTTATTTACCTCACTTGATTACATACCTTGCCCAGTAATTCACCCAATGTGACATCTTCATGACTGAGAACCCATTTCTTATCCTATGGCAAAGGGAAAAAAAAGAAAAAAGAAAAAAGAAAGAGTTTTTTAGCCCAACTAAGATTACATTTCCTGTAAGATGCACTTGAGATATTGGGAAACAGATCAAAGGGGATACTTCAGTCAAACCATTAAATCTACAGCACATTAATAAGTTGTAACATCAGGAGGCTATAAAACAGATCTAAGATATGTTACTATGCAAGATATGTTAAAAATCTACATTATATAGCAAATTTCCATCAGAAATCTTCAAATGGTGGTGTCCCTGTAACTAGAATATAGCATGCACTTTTCTCTCCTCATAAAGCTTAGACTGTCATTTCAAAAGAGCTGTGTCATAAGTACATGAGAGAATTTCATTTGATAATACAAAACTTCCAATTTTCTCTTGATCATAAAGAATTCTTGTCCCAAACCACATTACTAAGAGTTAATTCTTCCACATATAAACTGTCCATGAGTTATAGCTGTTAATGACATTGCATGTAGTCCCATATCTTGCCTAAGTATTACACTTTCCTGAACTGTAATGAACAAAACTTGGGTACATAAGACCAGTGATGCAACCCATTATCTAATTACGACTTAGGGAACAGTTTATCATCTTAAAAATCTCATAATAAATCACATAATGCCATAATGTTATAAAGAAATACAGGTTTAAAAAAGGGAAATGAAGCAAGGGAAAGAAAAGGGAGGAGAGGAAGAAAAGAAGGGACAGAATAATTGAGTTATGCAGGGAAGAGTCAGAGAAGGAAAAGAAAATCCCGGAGTGATATATTTTATTCAGGATTTGTTTTTAATTAAGGTTAAAATGTAGTATTCCCCAATTACACATGTTGAAATGTAATTATGATCTATAGAATGAGTTGTAATAAGTAAATAAGCATCTTAAAGTAAAAAGCCACCCTACCTATGGCTTAAAATGTCCTAGACAGCCATTTGAAGTATTTTACCATAAGAAACACCATATGACAAACACTCAAACACCACCTTCTGTTAGATCAACTGATTTCAAAACAAAACAATTTACATGTACAGTATTTCAATCTATATTCAAAATTAAAGCTATAAAGGACCTGAAAGAAAACAGAGGAGTATCTTCACAGCTATATGAGTACACAAAGATTTTGATAGACACAAAAAGCACTAACTATAAAATAAATAATTGGAATTCATCAAAATTAGAAACACTTGTTCTTTAAAAGGCATCACTTTTTTAAAAAATGAAAAGGTAAACTATAATCTGAGAGAACAATGATTTTGTATGTACAACATATAGAGAATTTATGAGAAGACAACAACCCGATTTTAAGAAATAAGGGTGGAGGAGGGTGTAAGAGAGCAACCAAAGGACTTATATGCATGCATATAAACATAACCAAGGACACAGACAATAGGGGGGGTGAGTGCATGTGCTGGGGAGGTGGGAACGGCCGGGGATAGGTTAATAGGGGAAAAAGGAGACTTATGTAATACTTTCAACAATAAAGATTTCTTTAAAAAAAATTGGGTAAAAAATTTTTTAAGAAAATAGATAATAAGCATATAAAAATATTTTTTAACATCATTAGTCTTCAGTGACATACAAATACAAATCACAATCAGATGCTATTCCATACATATTAGAATACTAAAATTAAAAAGATTAAATGATGCCACAAGTTTGCAAGAATAGAGAAAAAGTGAAGTTCTCATACACTGTTAGTATGTAAAATGGTACAAGCCATTCTGAAAGACAATATATGACTACTTTATGATTCAGAAATTACACTCCTAGGTATAAACCCAAGAGAAATGAAAATATAAATCCACAAAAAGACATAAAAAATGTTTGAGGCAGATCTATTTATAATAGCCAAAAACTAGAAAAAATTCCAATGTCCCAGCAAAACCAGAACTGACAAGTTTTTGTATATTCAGACAATTAATTACTATTCAGCAATGAATAGCAATTTACTAGGGATACAGACAACAGCAGAGCACTTGCAAAACACTTTTCCATGGCCACAGAAGTATTTAAGTGAGAGTTGAGACAAGAACCTCAATCTTTTGTCTCCTGTTACAGTGCTTAGCTTTTATTGTGCTGAAGAGACCAAAGAACATTGCATTTAAAATAAAACTGAGTCCAATAATTTTCTGAATCTAAATCACATATATATATATATCTATATATCTATATCTATATATATATAGATATAGATATAGATATATATATATATATATATATATATAAATCATCTCAGGTAACTAAAAAGAAGGATCAAATGATAGAACATCTATAACCTGAATAAATACCATGCAATTTTTACAAATTCTTTAAGATTTCCAAGTCCTTCAGCTGAAATTGGAGCATGCTCAAGGACATGCATTTTTTTTCTTAGATATTAATCTATGACGTTATTCTATGATACAGTGAGCACTATGTTTCTAGAAAGCCAATTCATGCCAAACCCTAAAGTTGAAAAATTTCATATAAAGTCTCATTTAGGTCTATAACTGGTATATTTAATATAAAAATAGATTCTGAAATGTTTTCATTGAATTACAGAATTGAAAGATCAATGAAGCAACTGTGAGAGTTGAATCACCTTGAGCTAAGAACATATGGGCTTGAGGTAACTCAGACAGGGAGATATGGGAATTCTGCCAAGAGCACACCTTGCATCTTCAGTAACACAACTCCTCCCAAACATCTCTATGGCAGGCAATAAGATTACAACTTGCCTACTTCCAAGAACCTCCACCTATTCTCTAAAGACATTGGACATAATAGTCCAAGTCTCAATTTAGAAGTCTCTATTGCAAGTATAGGTCATTTATTAACATGGGTTTTAATTACAATTTAAAAATATGGTTGTCATGGCAACATTTTCCACTCAAGATTTTAAGATAGGTCAAGTTTATTTGTATTCTGTTACAGAAAATCTTGTGGCTTCCATAGTTGGATTAGAAGATACTGCAGCCCTAACAGTGGATAGAGTGTCAGCCTGCAGACTCAATGGTCCCAGGTTTGATTCCAGCCAAAGGCATGTAAAAAAAAAAATGTGGAAAATATAGGACTTTAAAGTTAAAAAAAAAAAACAACTCAGTAAATGAACTGGTAAAGTGAAGATAACAGAAGAAAGAACTTTTGAACTCGAGGACAAATCAAGATAATTTACCCAAATTAAACAACAAACAGAAACTAGACTGGACAGAAAATTAAACAACCTCAGAGACCTGTGGGATAATAGCAAAAGATCCAACATTTGTGCCATCATGGTCCCAGAAGAAGAGGCGAAAAGAGGGATGCTGAAAGGCCATTTAAAGACATAATGCCTAAAAATTTCCCAAGTTTGGTATAAGACACAAACATACAAATTCAAGAAACTGAGATAACTTTACATAGGGTAAACCCAAAAACCCAAGCTAAAACATATAAAAGCTAATCAGAAAATTAAAGCCAAAGAAAAGTCTTGGCAGCAGCCAGAGAGAAGTGACGCACCTACAGGAGAACATCAATTAAAGGATTCTACTCTGAACTATGGAATCCAGATGAAAGTGGCACAATATTTTTCAAGTGTTTTAAGAACTGTCAACTGATACTATATGTGGCAAAAATATATTTTAGGAATGAAGGGAAAATAATGCTATATGGAGGAAATCTAAAAGGATGTGCTCAAAAATAAACCTAAAAATAGTTCTAATATTTTCTCCCTATACCTCAAATTGTTTTGTGTATTCCAGATACTCTAAAAGGGTTGACACTGGAATCAGAAGGTTAATTAGGATAGAAAAGCCATAATAAAAGTGGTTTGTGGGACAATGACACCTTGGTTATCTTTCACAGCAACTGTGAAGAAAAGGTTAGCAGACATGTCCATGTCACCCTATTTACATTCATCTTCAGAGTCACGATGATAAGCCTTAGACAAATAAAAAATTAAGATGCTGGAATGTCCAAAAGTTACTGCATAATGCTATTCCACATGCCTGATGTGAGGAGTCTAGATGAACACATCAGCATGTTTAAAGTAAACATGAAGAATGAGGCTGTGCACATGGTACCTGGTTTGGGGGTCATTACCATGGCTGGTCATGTGAAAGGTTATGTGATCAGCAACCTGTGAGAACTCTGGACTCCAAGACTCAAATATGTCTTCCTGAGCAATGACATAGCACAAATGTTTGCAGAATGAAGGTGGAAAGACGTGTCCACACAATTCCTACATAAACAGGGCAAGGAAGCCTGTGCTTGACCTCTCCTTGGCTGCTCCTGCTGTTCTGGCAGGTATCCTATGCTAGAATAAATCTTAGCCTTGAGTATAACTTTAAGTAATGTGATTCTTTCCAGTGAATCGGTGAGCTAGTGGGTGATTGTGGGACCAACACTCCAAGGGCCGAGAGGTTACTCAGGCAGCAAGTGGCAGAACCAGTGTCTGAACCCACATCTTCCTGACCCTGAACACTATGTCCTTTCTAATTACAGTGCCTCCCAAAATAGAATAATTTAAAGTGATGTATATGACTCTTTCAAGTTCAGAGACTGACTGTCATGCAACTGTCAGTTTTAATTAACTGGAAGAAAATGGGTTGTAACACTTTATTTCAAATTTCCAAGTCTAATCCTAAAGATTTTTCACTTCTTACAGTTTATACTGTTTTATATGGTTATATTTTTTATACTTTGTTTTCAGCCAATTATTGCTATGTTAATCAATTATAGATTGTGCTTCACTCACAGGATTTACTAGATTATAATCTAATTTAAAGCTTTTGAACAATCCTTTTTTGTGAAAAAAAAACAACTTTGAAGTTGTCATCAAGTAAAATGGTTTATATACCCCTGGCAGAATATAAAATTTACTTATATATATAATCTGAAAATATGACTCATACTTCCATCTCGAGACCATTATGGTCACTAGATAATACATGACAGTTACCTTTTTCCATATTAACTCTACAAATTTTTCTTTTAAAATTTAAAGAAATCATCAAAACACAAGGAATCAAC